GCTCCTTGCTTTGAAATGATAGAACTTACGGCGCATGTGCTTAATATTTGGAAAGCTAGCTAACCTGCTAACCTGGCCATCCAACTAAGGCTTACGCTGCGCAGGATTGAAATGGTGTATGAGGACCGGAAGCACGAGCTTATTTTAGAAACACGTTTCACTGGATCTGCCATATGCTCCAGGCAATTCGGGAGTGCTGCAGGCTAGGGGAAATGCTTGTGGCCAGCCCGAATCATGAAATCTTGAACGAACGCTACATGCGCAGCCCAGCGCAGGCGACGCTTGAAAAAGATCCCTGTGCATCAATGTTCAGAAGCAGGAGGTTTTTTAGGAGGAAATACAATTAATTATGGCCCCCAAAAACCACTTTTCTTGAACCATATCTATAGACTTATATAAAAGTATTTCTCCAAAAAAGCCCTCTGTGTGATGTTCTGCACTTGCCTCAACCCCAAAGCCCTCAACCTGAAGCCCTCCTCCTTTTGCCAGGTGATGGGGTGACTACAGCCTGGCTTCTCATCTTTACGAAGATACACGAGGATTGGGGCATGCACAAATCTTGCGAACTCTTGCCTGCAAAGCCTGAAACATATAACCCCACATAAAGCCTTCTGAGGACCTGCGCCTTGTACTACAACTTCATCGAATCCTACGAAGCCTTCTGGAAGGCCTGTTGCCGTATCCCCCTATCCCTGAACTCTGTCGCCTCTCTTCTCTTGCCAGGTTGGTGGATTCGAGCTACGCTGCTGCTGCCACGGAGACAAGGCCAGGGCCTGCAAAGAAACGGTAATCTATTTTGGGGCATGGCGACGGAATAATTTATCCTCCCAGAAACTGACCCATGGATCCCATTCCCACCATCTAATGAGTTCAATTAGTTTTGCTTGCAGGTACCAGATGGCTTGGGCTCGCCGAGCTGAAGTGCAAGGCTGGGGTGTCTCCGGCTTATACTCTTGTCTGGCACGCTTACAACTAGCAAGTGGCTTGTAGCTGCTTCATGAAGTCCAGGAAAGGCAGTAGCATGGTTCCAAGATTGCTCAGAAATCATATTATGATTATTTCGTTGCATCACTGAACCACTTGGCCAATCTTGCAGCTTGTTCATGACATTGCCACTTACAGCAGAAACATATTTCACCATTGCTGCTATGGAGTCTCCACGGCTATGTGATTCTTCGCTACTTACGCGGCTGATTCATGTCGGTGCTCCAAAAGTTTCTTTCTTGCAAAAAACAAGATTCTCAGCTCACTGTGGGGTTGTTGTGCAAGCCTGCGCATGCATGGACACTGAGGTGTTGATTGCCATAATGCTGCTGATATTGTGGTCAACAGACCTCCCTGCGGCCAAGAATTTTGATCTACTGGACCTCTTTGCGGGGGTGGGAAATGCGAGCAAGTATTGGCGCCCTCATTGCATAAGAGTCAGACCTTTCATAATTTGCGCACGAATTGTTCTAGGTATTCTGTTAACCAAGGAAATCCCAGGGCAAAAGAGTTGCTACTGTGGAGATCGAGAGGGGCGATCTATGGATTTCCTATCTGATGCTGGCTTCGTGTGGCTTGGCCTTGGGAAGCAGAACATGAAACTGCAGCTGTCAAGGTTGGTTCTAGTACTCTGCCTCTTGTGTGTCCTGCGTAGACTGATTATCTAAGGCTGGTTCTTTGGTGTGTTGTACGACAAAATCCGACGGCACTAAGCATCATGGGACCCCAATGCTCATCATGGGGCATTCCGAATCGAGGAACGAGTTTAAGGAATGAATTGAATTTCAGAGGATATGAGGGATACGCATCGGTTGCCTCCGCGAACAAGATGATTTCGCGGTGTTCTGGCTTCATTTATGGATCCCCACAATGTGTTACTACTTGCCTCAGAAGCTTAACCCCACCAATTTTCCTGGGGCCTCTCTCAAGCTCTAGGTGTAATCCCAAGAATGCGTTTCTGAATCCTGCAAAACTCCACATGCGCTTCAAATCTTTTCCGAATACTGAAAGGTCTGTTGTTGCTGGAAGGATTTATGTAGCTTGATTTCCAAGGGTGGTGCTTGCAATCCTTCTCATGACCGCGATGCACACGATTTGGGTGCTGGAACGCCCGATTGCGTCCCTCATCCAGAAACACGACCGCTTCGAATGGTTGCGCAACCATGTTCTTTACGCACCTTGCCTAACTTACAAGAAACAAGTGTTGGATTGAGTTCTCATTATGTAGTCAGCCTGCAAGAATAAGTCTGAAGCTGAGGTATATTGGCAGCCTTTCTGGCTTATGCACTGGGGGGCATCATCGCCGAAAAGAACAAAAATCTTCTCTTGTAGCCCCCTGGTGAAGTTCCTCAACAGGGGCATTTTGTCTCAGGTGCAACGAAAGACCCAAACCAAACTTCGCACCACCCGTGAATTAGCTGCAATCATTAGAGGCTGTTTGTTTGTTCTCTACCCTACAAACCTTATGGAAAACCTAAACCCCAGCCCCCAGCCCTAAAGTAACCCATCTCCAACCTGCTGCAGGTCGCTATGAGAATCGATCCGGAAAGGAGTGCTTTGTGGGCACCAAGGACCTGAAGGAAGCGGGGTTGCTGGACATGCGTTTGACACATGGCCTTTGGGGTTTGTTTTCCTGTGGCTCATTAAAGAATTGCGGGTTGCAAGGTTTCCTCTGAAAGTCAATAGAGGTTGTATCTTTCGGAATACTTCTCTAGCTAGCCTTGTGTATTCTTACACTTCCTGCGGTGGTAAAAAAATTAGGAGTTCAGCTGAGGGTCTACCCCATGCGTTTTGTCAAGCAGCTGTTCGAAATCTTTACAGATGAGTCTGCTCACAAAAAGAAGAACTTCTTGCGCAACAAGAATCCCACAGATCCCTCGATGACGGATGTGGAGCTTTTCAAGAATATGGCTTTGGGGGACACGTGGGATGATGCTTCTGTTGCCTCTGTTTACTTTTATTTTCGCCGGAGTCGGCATTTAATGATTCCACCCTGCTGGCAATCCACGATTGATGAATTTGACAGGGAACTTCACAACAAGGTGCCTTGGTTTGGTTGTAATGTAAATCTACTTGCCGTATAGATCATTAAATTATGTACAACAACCCAATGCACCCCACAAAGTTTTTGCCCTCACCATTGCTCTCAAGGTGAATTGCTTTATGGACCTCCAGTACAACTCTTTGCTCCTGCAAAATCAGATCTGAAATCAAGGCAGCCTGCGGCTAGAGTGGCTAGGCTCGCACCAGGCAAGCAAACCCCAGGGATTCCTGTATGCCCGCCGCATGTGTACTTGTAGACTGACCAGGATTGGTTGGCAGGGTCAGGTTTTGGCAGATATGTTTTTTGAGCAGGTGCCAGGGCACAGGTTGGAGTTGTTGCTGCAATAACCCAAAATGCTCACGCGCGCTTTTTGGCAACACGAATGTTTTTTAGTTTTGCTGCTTCCGGGTCAGGG